AACCTGTCAAATGTGATTAAAAAGAGGAGGGGGCAAAGGGAAGCTAGCAGTGAAACTTGTCAAGCGTGATTAAAAAGGGGAGGAGGCAAGGGGAAGCAAGGCAGTTCAGGTTATAGTGAGACCTGTCAAAGGGGGGCGGGAGCAAAGGGCAGGGCAGCAGTCGGTCATATGGGGAAGGAGAGAGGTGTGAGGGGTAATGAATTTATCGATCATTACCACGGCAATGTGAAGTTGATTACGTGATCCGGCTGCTCACAGAGTTCTGAATTTCTTCTCCGGTCACGCCCGGTCACAAATGCAGTGTGCAGTTGAAAAAGAACTCACAAAATCGCATGAAGTCCTTACATTCCGCTAGCCTCCTCGTATTTTCCTTGTTCAAATTTACAAGTGAGCTGTTCTCAGTAGTGAATGTACCTTTTGTAATGTACTCCAAAAGGGCAGGCTGAGGATATAGCTCCTAAGCCGAATGAAAATGACTGAAATAGCGCCATCTTCGTTAAGATTTGCCGCTCATCTAAGGCAGGTTTAGCAGGAAGCAGGTTTCCGAATTTCATTTGTTCCAACCGGCAAATACTTGTGCATACTGTCGTGCCCCTCACCGATCTGGTCACGTGATATGCTCGTCCCGTTGTACCTTGCGGCTCAACCTAGAGCTCTCGCTGGTAGTCACATAGCGACAAGTAACATATGCCCATTAAAGTTGCAAACATTCCCATCCGAGAGTTCAGAAAAATATCTGGCGAGCATACGTAGCTTTCGATAAATTCTCCTCGGGGTAAAAGGTAACATGCTGGTAATTATTTTCATCATAACATGGGAATAGGGGAGGGGGCGGGGTTGGTAGTAATCAGCTGGTTGCGAGTTGACGAGGGTTTGCTGAGTCCGGACAGGGGATGGGGGGGGATTGAAGGGGGAGAAAGCGCGGAAAGATTCAGGTAGTTATGCAACCGTTGACCATGACAAGATCGGGGCTTGCAGGAGGTTCCTTTGCGCGCACAGAACCGGCTTCCTCAACCGGATCGCGGTTGCTTCTGGTGATGCTAGCAGCAGCCTGTAGTGAACATAATTACCAGCATGTTACTTTTTACCCCCACCCTATATAAATGTAATGGCCCGAGCAGAATTTATCGAAAGCTACGTATGTTCGTCAGATATTCTTCTGGATATGCCCATTGATGGAGTACTGACAAAGACAGGGGAAAGAGGAATAACAATTTCCAGGGTTCCATAATATCCGGATGCAAATTTGGCTTTAGAAACACTAACCGGAGTGAGGCTGGACCTCGGCAAAATCAATACGAAGAGGAACTTTAATTGCTTAACTTCATGCTGTTGTTTATTACTGTATTATTCCAGGATTTTCAGGCTAATGCTATACATTGTTTGCTGTGCTCTAATCTGCATCCTAGACGGTTAAAGACATAACCAATCAGATGCACTGTATCCCGGAGACACCGTTGTGCAGTCATCCTGCAGGCTTCTCGAAGACCCCTTCCAAACTCTTCTCCAGCAGTGGATCAACTGTCACGCCAGTTCAAGCCACCGCTCCTGACGATTCGGTGGCTGAACCACCCTCCGCCCCCATGGACTCTGCCTCGCACAACCACGGCGGCTCTTCCACCTACCAGCCCAGAGTAAGTTATCGTCACCGCTATGACAAATACTCATCTCGCCTGTCCCTGTAGTCAGGAGGACGGGGACTCAGGTGCTAACACTAAAAGAAATGTAAAACCAGAGTCGCAAAGTCGTCGTGCTTCTGCGTTGACGACTGTTTGGGGCGTTAAGAGGTGGTTAGTTCCTCTGACGGACTAGTGCTTGATGGAAGTACCTGCTCACACGTAGCTGTTTTCTACCTCTTGGTCCCATGTTGCACACAGCTGCAATCTAGAAGTCTAGACAGTTACAGACACGCCCGGTAATCGTTTCAGACCAATCAGTTACCGTTTTGGGTGTTACCTTGCTGTAAACTTTTCCATGGCTAGGCATAAACACCCCTGAAGTTCCTCCTACTGTGCCAAATACCTTTACTAAAAGCTGATATATGACTGCCTAAAATTAAATTTTTTGCGACAAGATTTGACTCATCACTACTTGCCATTTATCATTTAAAAAGTCAATCAGACAATTTTTCTCCTCATAATCTATGCGCAGAACGACTATCGACAAAGGTAAGGGCACTGCGATGACCATTTCTGGCACGTTAATCGTCATCATCTACCCAGACCCAACCTCGAGGTTTGTAACCCCCGAGACTCGAACCCGCCTTCTGTTGGTTAGAAGTTGGACGCTCTAGCCATTGAGCTGCGGGTTATTTGCCCTGTCGATCGCGACCGGTAATATTAACTACGGCAAACGTCGCTCATCTGCATGCCCTAGAATCGACCACAAGGTCTAGACTGCAATTTTGTACTCATGGTGCTCTTCATGAGAAGGGCAAACAAACGTGTGTAGACTTCGCGAATCGGTAGCATTAACATCGTTCATCTTCTAACATGACTCAATTTAAGAGCTCATTGTGGAAAAATACTGGCATCGTAGATGCATTCTTATGCACTGCATCATAATCGGCACAGTCGACAGTATGCTGAGGAGCATTGCTGCCGTTTACTAACTTAGGCAAAATTGTCTTGTACGCCCGCCTAAATATCTATTCCCCTCGCCCAGTTGTCTTACGGGCTTGGCGGTTAAACATTTAATTCTTGGTGAACGAATGTACATAAATATCTAATTGTTTTGGAAGTGATCAAATGATATTAAATTAAAACCAACTATAGTTGTTTTAATGAGCCAAATGTAATCAACTCCATCAACATAAACTCCTGTTGCTAAGGAAACTGATGCCCTTTGAGGGAAAATTGACCCCATATTGGCGGAATTACCGAAAAATGGACAATCGGGTTACTGAAAGTGCACAAGTAGTTTATTGTTATAAGTCAAAGGCAACTAGGACCTCTAAAGACAGTCATACCCCAAATTCTCCCTAACTGGGAGACTTTTTATGACTTGTGTCGCACTGTCCAATTCCATTCACCCGCTTCTGCTTCCACTGCTGGAAACGTTATCCTTCGAAGATGAGTGACCAAACTCGACCGGAAATCGAATGAGCCATACACAATTACTTCGGCGTCACCTGTGGATCCATCCTGGGCCAAAATG